GCATCCGTTACTATAGAATGAGGCAAAGAGAAAGTCTTGGAGTTGTGAAAGCTTTATTCGAAAGATGTATAAGCTGAACGTCTAAGCAGCGGCGTGAACGACACGGCGTTTTTTGTGGAGAGCACCTTGATTGTGAGCTCCAGTTGAGTATGATCTTCCGGCAGCATGAGCTTGTTGCCTCGCTGCAGCTGCGGGTCTTGCACCACCGGAGTATGAAGTAGAGCCGCCATAACTACCACCACCGCCTCCGACAGCCCCAGCACGAGCAGGACATGGACAGTACGCGGCATCAGCTCCTGGACCTCCGCTGCTACCAGCTGCTCCGGGAGAGCCTGGTGCTCCTGGTGCTCCGTCGTTACCTGGAGCGCCGGGAGGTCCGGCAGGTCCTGGTGCTCCTGCACCATTATGACCACCGTCTTGTCCTGGCATTCCAGGTGCTCCTGCCGGTCCAGGTGGTCCCGCTGGTCCTGGTTGACTGGTTGATCTCGTTCCTGAAGCAAATATAGATGAAGGACTAGATCGCTCATTTCTGATAGATTTTCATGTACTCACCTGGTGCTCCAGGTTTCCATCTTGTCCAGGGCTGCCAGGTTGTCCATCAGATCCAGGTGCTCCTGGAGGACCGGGAGGTCCTGGCATTCCTGAACCACTCATTTTCATGTTGTGCTAGCCCCAATTTATGGCTCTGTAAATGGAAACTTATATTTTACCTCCTCCAAGGCTTTCTCCGTCTTGTCCGGGATTTCCTGCGGGTCCAGCTGGGCCGGGAGCTCCATCCGGTCCTGGTTCACCTGGTGGTCCGGCTGGACACGAGATACAACCTCCACCGTGACCTCCTTCTGCTGCAAGACCACCTGCTCCTGCTCTTCCAGGAAGACCTTGCAGACCATCATCTCCTGGCAGGCCAGGTTGGCCAGGAGGTCCTGTTAATGTTTTCATAGTAAAACAATAATTTCTACATTGATTTCAGTAAAGTATTATTATTCGTGCGCATACCTGGTGGTCCTCGTGGGCAACCCGATGCTTTAGCTGCGCATGCACAACCTCCACCACCACCTTGCGTAGCCTCCACTCCCGCGTGCTGCATACGCGCCACCACCACCTCCGCCCAACGTAGCTGCCACCTCTTCGAATTCTGGCCTGAGCTAAAGACCGAACCGCCTTCGTTCTGCTGAGCTCCCATCATTGTTTTCCATGCTCGTGCTATGTTGCTGTACATCGATAGTAACTTTCTGTGCATATAAGCTTCTCCAATAGCGTGTTAACCCAGCACAGATAATTCAGTTCTAATTTGCTAACGCTGGAAATTGATTCGAGATCTTTTTCGATGTCCCTTTGGAATTCGTTGATGTCGCTAATGACGTCGAAGATGATTACGAACGTCACACCAATGGCGATGGCGGTACTGATGAATGCACCAGTGACAGCGTAGTGAAGCATAGTACCCATCTGAGATTACCTAGTAGAGGACTTCTGTAGCTAACGAGCCATATTGAATGTAATGTAGCATTTACGCAGTTTCAGTGGCGCTATAAGGACCTGGATACTCGAGAAAAGCCATTCGGTAAAGGTTAAGAATGGGCATTTCATGAGTTGTTCATGAGCGAAATTCGAAAAAGCTTTAGTCATTCTACACAAAAGCCGGGAAATGAAAGGAGTTTATATCCCTGAATTGCAAACTAAGGTAGCGAAGAATAGCAGACCGGAATTCTGCTTTTCTATCGGGAAATAAGAAATCATAAATTTTTTCCATAATGAGGCTTTCATTTGCGAAAAACGCCCTTCAATGGTTGTTTAGTAAAGTGACCGTACCCTTGATGCTGAAGAGCACAACGAGACTCTTCCTGGAAGTACCCCTCTATATAGTCACAGCACCTAACAACTGGTTTCTCACTAAGCAAATCACAGTACATCATCCTGTTAGGTTCGATATGGGTTCTCCTCCCTCTACTGCGCTTGAATCCGTCAAACAGTCTAACTGCACGTCTGTGGCACGAACTCATCGCTGTCCCAATCATCGCAACACGCGTCCAAACACATACCGTCCCGCTAAATGTATGGAACCCAGACCTTCCGTACCGTGACAATAGAGAACCGAATACCGCGAAGGTGGAACAATGGAATTTAGCTATAGTCTTACATCCTTATGAATACACAACCAACTTAGTTCACTCTGGAAGAGGCATTTATTTTTCTCATTTCTCTCTCAAGGAAATTCGGTTCCTTGGTTTCTGCTAAAAGGCTTTCTTGCGCAGATAAATTTTGAGTGAAAATGCTTAACCTGGCGCAAATGTTTAACCAATCACCTTCCCCAAGAGAGGCGGTGCCCGCAAGTCATTGAAAGTTTCGACCTCAAGATAAGAGGTCCTTCGCAATACCGCTTGAACTTTTATGTCTTGAGGAAATCGATTCTGTCGAATGCCGAGCCCGGTTAAATCCCCCACCTCAATCCTTCGTTACAGAGCAATTTCGAACTACACTTTTCCATTTTTTTCTATAGGTTGACCCATAATTTCCGCAAAAATCACCGTATGCTAGAATTTTGAGAATTCCGAAAGTTCTGCAACATGTTTATTGAAGCGGCATCAACTTTTGGAACCAGTCAAGCGACTAACTTCTTGTCTCGCTAATTATTCTGGCTACTACAGCCCGTTTTGCGTGAACCCATTCGTGCCCTTGTTTCCACCGTACCGGCTGGATCTGCCTAGCCACAGGGCCAGTTAAAAATGTAAGCAAAGAGGCGGAGGCGCCTCCTCAACCACGGCATACAATGCTCAACTCTGCCATTGACATTTATTTGCAGTTCCGGTGCAACACTACACGCATTCCCGTGATCAAATAACCAGCTCTTACTGCACGCTTTGAAAGATCTTGGATAGATACGATCTATTTCGCTGGGAAACCAGTTCTGTGTAGAACAGTATTGAGCCATGTTCAAACACCTGCGATGATTCGAAAATGCAGATCTTGGGTGCCATGTGCCTTAAGCCCGAATTAGCTTCAAACACAATCGGAATTGAGAAGTCTAAACAATTTAATACGAACTGACAAAGCCTATCAAGCCAGCAGGCATCATTCGAGTTCATCCAAAGCCGTCCAGAGTCAATCTTTATCGCATGATCAAGTGACCTACATACAGTGCCTTCAGCTCCAATCTACATCTTGCTGAGATGAAGGACGGCGCCATTATGCGGAAAGGATATTAACGCGCGACTACTCAGGCAGTTCTGGACTCGCTAATTCAACCTCGTCTCATTGCTCTCCGGAAATCATGCGATAGTACTGCATGCATGAAGAATCTGCATGCAGTCGTCATCGAGTACACAGCGATTGCAAGGTTCTTGATAACCACCTATTCCTAAGACGTTCCAGGAAATTTCCGGGATCCAACGGAGTAACTTCCACATCCGCCAATGCTCTTCATGCAAACGAATGCCTACCTACTTTTCTTTCGAAACCTATTCCGAAAGAAGAACACGTCCCGACTTCCACATCCAAATCGTCCATTCAAGTTTCTGCAGATCAAAGGAATGCTCGAGGCATCTTTATGCATTGACAATAGGAATGTGGTTGGTGTATCTATCGTCTGAACGGAAACAAAAACAAAATTAAGATCGGCCAATGGTTGCAGAAAATGGGACCAACTAATAGCTACAGTTATGTCCTTTCACTGCTAATCACTCGTTAATTCCTTACAACCAGTGTTAAACTTTGGCAAAGCAGTTAGTCTGACGCGAAGATGCTCGTTCGCCTCTAAAGGATGAAACGGTTGGGTTGTTCCCTTTATTTTGCTAGGATACGCTTATCGCCAGCGGCCGCCAACCTTGTCACTCTATATCGGATATAAATTAGCTCCACACGCCACGAGGTCAAGGTATAGTAAAGAAGCCAAACGAAAAAAAAAAATAGAAATCAAAAGTAAAACCAGGAATGTGGAATCTGGTGAGTACAAAACAAAGCACTTCTAGTTTGATAGCTTGATATTGATGGGGTTCATTAATACGCATTTTCTGGCTTGCAATTCCCTTATTGATTTTAGTGTTACTTGTGGATTTTCTATACCTTTTATACGCTACCGGTTGGTCTGACTTCGTATAATGTATCCCTAAGCCCAATTGTTTCTTTCTTAAAGCAACAGTTCAGGAACGGTTTCGCGGGAAAAAACCACCAATAATGAAGTTGTAGATGAAAACCAGACGATTAATGTATGAAAAACTGGAAAAAAACGTCGGGGAGGGTCTTAGACAGGTACTCTCCCTCTGCCGCTCAGCAATGGATAAAGACGCACGTTGGACGAGTTGTCTGAACGTGCCCGCTGTAAACGCGCTCCATTTTTCAATCAATTTTCCCTGTGGTCCCAAAACGAGCACGATTGCCGACGCGTCCAATGACGGCCGGCAAGGGGGCGGGATTGGGGAAATCCCAAAAAACCCATTGCCGGGGTACGTGGCCACTCTGGTTTGATTCTCTAGTATGTTCTGTATCTATTCCACTGCATCATCTTCTTCCAAACTGGGCTCGTGTACCCTCAGAGTAGTGCATTGAATTTCGGACCCTCCCTGAACGTCTTTAACCTTCCAAGACATGAGCCACGGAGCTGGATTGGACAAGGTCGTAAACCACCAATTGATACCCAGAGCCCTTTGCAGTGGTTGACCGACCACTGCCCATCGCGCTTCTCCCCGTAAGCCCATTCCCCTTTTGGCCACCCGTTGTTTGGATGCCTTCTCATAGATATTCTACCCAATCTCGGCATGTTTTATTTCTAGAGTTTGATTTCCGATAATGAATATCAATGTCAACGTGGAGTAGCTTTCCAAGATCCGTTTTTGGGTGTGTCTATGACACGTTTGGTGCCGTAACCAGAAGTGGAGCTTAACTCTGTGGAAGATTCTACCCTCAATTCAGTCGGACCATCAGTTTTGTACGTCACATCAATAACACCGGAAGTGTATGAAGTGATAGTATGTATTGAAGGATTGATCAACCTCGAGAACTTCATATTGTCATCTTGCTTTTCTAATTCTTCAGACTCTGATAGATCTTGTAATTCGCTTCATATAGGTTCTGCATATCTACTCAGAGGTTTCTGAAGGTCTTCCTCTTTCCAATCATCAGATTACAGTGTATTCGTTTGCTGGACGACGGATATGAATGCTCGGAAGTCTTATGCTTGAATATTTCTGAAATCCTCCTAGATAAGGTGATCCAAGTCGTTGTGTGTTATGTTCACCATCAGTGAAACCTTAGGTGTTTCACCTCGACCGTCCGGCTGGAGAAGGCTTGTACAGTGGCTTCATTTTGAAAAAGCCGTGTGATTACCTTGATCAAGTCGCTCATGCATAGCTTCTTACAGATCATTACTTTGGTTGTGAGGAACTGCTGCTCAGACGTGGTTATGGTTCATTAGTGATCTGTAGCTCGTAGTTCGACCAGCCGGCTTGGGCGAGGGTACCTATCCTTGAACTGCTTGATTGTCTTAGAGCTCAGGGAGGGAGACTTTGTACGAACTGTCGCGTTATGCTCACCCGTTTGCACTTCGCCGTTGAATTCTCACCCGGAAACATCTGGCTAGGACTTTCAGGTGTATCAGAATCTGAGTTGATAGTGGGCGGAAAAATGATTTCTATGTCTTTCTGTATAATGGGCAGATTTTGGTAGACGCTTTTATTCAAACTGAAGTGACGACTCTTGTTGCTCACGGCTTTTTCATTCGCTTTCTGGACGAATTGTATCATAAGTTTAGTATACTGCGAAGGAATCCTGTGTTTCACACTCTGACCTGGAAGCTCATCTAATCTCTTTCATCTCTTTCAAATGTTCAATTGGTGTGCTGGGGAAGTTTCATTAGACCTGAACACTTGCTGCCTACGGCTTTTTCATTAGCTTTCTGGACGACTTGTATCATAAGTTCAGTATGCTGAACATGATTTTTTTTTTTCGAAAAATTGCTATTTCTCGCTAGAAAGACCGACCAATGGGGAGGGTACAAACTCTGCCCGTATGATCAGCATGCAATGTCTGCTGAAGAGTATCTATTTTATTCGCTTTTCATTATTGTTCGACCACATCTACTTCAATTTTTTTGTTTACCGGTGCGGTGACCATTAGCTTGGCACTCATAAAAGCTCATTCGAGTGAGTTCAGTGTTCCAATGAAGTGCACTTATCAAAACAGTCTGTATTCAAGATATGTACACTTTTTTCAACAACAGAAAGTTTTTGAGGGTACCTAAAAAATTTAAGCAGATTTGAACTCTGTTTCAAGACCATGGGTGTGTGCGAGACTGAACCGGAAATTCAACAATCTATTCAGTATCTCGCACCCCAGTAAGCACACTCGGTATCTATTCTCGTTCTACAAGGACTAGTGGATCAATCCTTTTCTCTCAATAGGCAAGCCTCGGAGAACTTGGTGTATACGGCGCACATTTTAATTTGATGGAGATGCAATGAAGGTGCCCTGAACTAATGATGACTTTAAAACACGGCAATAAGGAAGCAAAAGCAAGCTCATTCGGGAACGTATGATAAGGGCATTATAGCGTTCATTTAAGTGATGAGGTTGGAGGCAGATTTTAATGCGTGCAAGCGGCGAGATCATGCTTGCGTTCAATGGTTGAGAGTCGAATCATTGCAAGGGGCATGGCCGTTCGAAGATGGTGCGGGCTGATCTACCATCGAATTCGAGTGGGTGGAAATGTCGTTTGCATATTGAACCAGATACAGTTTGCTCGCTTTAAGATTAGCACCCTAACCGCTCATTTGCTGTGCGGAATGTCGTGTGGCCAACCTGTTTCTCTGGTATGGAAGGAAACACAATTCCCGTTGGAAGTTATTATTCAAATACTGAGTGATCCTGGGATTGCTTAAAATTTAGGAGAATCGGCCAGGTTTCTAATATATCTATATTGCATTGTTATTACACTTTTTAAGTCCTATTTTGGCTGCCTTAGTCACTGGTTGCTCGACCCGACGAATTGCTGGTCGCCATTACCTTGTCGCGATCATCTCTATGCTCTAATTATGTGACATCGAGGGAAATCGGCGTTTCTAAATAGTTGATTTTGATCTAATTACTAGCTCTAAATGTGTGACCAACGTTTGCATTCAGCAAGCATGGTGATAGATTATCCAGTTTCGTACAAGTGATTTAAAAAGCGATGATCTAAGAAAAGGAATCATGTTGAGGAGCATTACGTAAGACTCTTGTCTGTATGTGACAAAAGAGCGATCATCGTGAAAAAAATACAGTGTCGCTCAGCGTTTTCACTCTTCTTAAGTTGAAGTACTTCTCAACATGTAAGGACCATGTTGTTTTCATTGATGTTCGTCAAATTAGATAAAATGCCCTGCAAGTATCTTAAATCATGGGCTGTGATCTTCCTATTTGTAAAAAGCTGCTCGATTGCATTCAGCAAATTCCGTTCGTAAGCGACCTTGAGAGTGAGCAAGGTCCGGTAGAATGGACGTGTTGCGAGCAATTGCAGTTACATTCAATTGCATGACACGGATGGCTCTAAAGTGCTCCTGCAACTCAACCATGGATTTTTTTTTGATGTGTGTAGAAGATGGGGATGTTCGTTATTTAGGTTTAAAGTCTGACGGCTCCAAGAAAGCTAGTTGGAATTTTTAAGAATGTATCACAAGTAATGTGGTTTGTGCTGAAAAAACTTCTGCTCTGACTAACTGGTGCGCACTTTGGCCGGAAAACGAGGGTGCGAGTTCTGGTTTGGGTTGGGTATCGTTCTGGCCGAAGTTTTTCACAACCCAGCATTCTTGTGAAACATTCGCAAGGCGAACTGCTGTGGCCAAAAACAGCAGTTAACAAACCAAAACATGTGGAATGAGTTTAGTGATCAATACCTGAGTGCCACAAGCTTAGCTTTCGCCGTACATCTGAGAAATTGTTTGAAACTCGAAAGCATGGTTTTGAAAACCGATATTTTTCGTATTTTCATATTCATAGAATAATATTCCTGGTCACGATTGGTTTCTGAAATTCAGATTGTCAGAATAGCATCTATTGGCCACCAGTAATTTGGTCTCACCCTGCGCATCACACCAGCTTATACCAACAGGACACCTTGAACCATGAACGTTATTTTTCTTCAGAGTATTTTTATTTATTTATTCAATACGTTGTTTAGGACAGAAAGCAAACAAAAAACCACTATAATATCACCAAGGCACTGAGGTAAACATAGACAAGCTAGTTAAAAGTGGAAATGTAGTGTCAACTATGCCTCTAGTATTAGTTTAGCGGTTGAGGGTCTTGAGGACGCCCGAGAAGCAATTGGATTCATTGAAACGTAAATGCGCAAGACTCGCTCTAATCGTGAGAAAAGTGTGCCTAGTGGTGGTTTCAGGTAGCCGATAAATATGATCAGTGGCGGCTCTAGCAGAGTGGCCCTGTAGGAGACAAATAAAAGGTGCCATAGTGGCTCAGTCTTAAGATTTAAGAACATAATGCTCCAAAGTACCGCACAAAACCTAGCAAAATCCGTCTGTTAAGTTGTCCGTGAATAGTCACCATTTATGCGTGAGAACTTTCGAGAAGGGTATCGATTTCATTGTAAAGAGTTTTGAACAAAGTGTAGCAAATTTTTCTCACAACCTGATAGGTTTCAAAAAATTCTCTTGAATTCGTTACCAGCCAAGAATAAACTTTAGAAAAAACAGATCATGAGAACACGAGAACCTTGTAGAGGTGTTTTTTACGGTTTTTATTGGGAGTCACTTTTGATTCAAAATTTTAATACAGCTCAATGACCTAGAAAGCATGGATAAATAAGATCAGTGGGTTAGTGGCGGAAGTGGAGGAGACCCTCCCCGGTGCGCATGGTGTTCTCTGACTGAGCGCTGCTCATTACAATAACTTTTGAGACATTATGGAAGATGAGGGGCTTAGCCATGAAGGCCCCGAGATAATTGCGAACCAGGCGTCAAACCGTGGACGTTCGCACTTTTTCAAAAATTTCGTGTCTCCCCCCCCCCCCTCCTTAAGGAGGCCTCGATGCGACCCCCCCCACCACCATGAGACTAAGGAGCCCCCTAACCGGCCACGCTTCTTCACCCCGACCCCCACCCCCGTCCCCCCCTCCTCGCCAGGAATGACGCTTGTACTATAGTATATTTCATTCTGCAGGACCAAGCCGACACAGACCCTACTCCGCCCACCTTTTCCTCCAAAAAGGCGCCGAGGGGGGGTCATAAGTGCATGAAACCGCAAATTTGCTCTCCTCCCGCCTATCCTATGCGCGCCAATTACACCCACCAAATCCCTCAAAAACCAATCTAAATCGCCTCGCCATTCACCCAACCAATTACTAATCCCACTCAACCCCTGAATGCGACCCCCCTTCCCAAAATCAACCACAAATGCGACCCCCTCGTTCGAATAGTGCGAACGCACGGTTGACCCTGATTGGAACTTCTTCTGGGATAGGCGAGGCTTAGCTTGGTGCTCACTGAGAGATCCACAGTTCTGTTCTAGGACGTTCTAGAAGGCGGGAAAACGCGAATAGAAAGTGACAAGGTTGAGAGAGGTTGAAAGTTTGTGGTGGGCGTTTTATGCAGCAGGAGGGCGGAGCCAAGATTCAAATATCTATAGTGTGGTTATATGAGATAGCCGAAGCCGGAAAAACAAGTGAATAGAGACTACTGACGTGTTCATTTAATCCCAAGCCGAACAGATTTGTATATGAAAAAATGATAGGAGAATTCAAAGGTAAAATTATAAATATTATGACTTTTGTACACGACCACGTCGTCTTTTGGCAACACTTTCGGGTTCATCGTCTTCTGTCCAGAATCGACCTTCACTTCTCGCTGGACATGGACAGTACGTAGCGTCTGATCCAGGTCCTCCATTAGAGCCTGCTTGACCTGGAGCTCCTGGTCTTCCTGCCGTGCCAGGTCTGCCAGGTCGTCCGGGTGGTCCTGCTGGTCCAGGTGCTCCATTTCCATCACTATCGCCATCCTCACCATTTGGACCAGGTGGTCCTTGTGGCCCTGGATCGCCTTCTGGTCCCGGATAGCTGGTTGATCGAGTTCCTGAAAGTGAAAGTATTTTTTTCCCATTCAACTGTCAAAAAACTCTGAAACTAAATTATTCCTTACCTGGTGCGCCGGGCTCTCCATCTTGCCCTGGATTGCCGCGTTTCCCATTGGTACCACGTGGCCCTGGTCGACCAGGAGGCCCTGCTGGTCCTAGAATTTGTATTTTTTAGAAAATGTTTAGGTTGAAAATTCCGCTATGAGTTTCACCTACCGCCTAAGCTTTCCAGCCCATCTTCTCCAGGAAGTCCCGGGACGCCAGCTGGTCCAGGTTCTCCATCTGGTCCTTGTGGCCCAGGAGATCCGGCTGGGCACTGAATACATCCGGCTTCATGAATTCCGAGTGTGGCTTGACCAGGATTGCCAGGTTGTCCAGGTTCTCCAGGTATACCATCTTCTCCCGGTATTCCCGCATATCCAGGAGGTCCTGAGTAAATTAGGCTGAGTTTTGACTTGTAATGTTAATGTAACTAGATAGCTCTTACCAGGTGGTCCCGCAGGACATGAAGCCGCTTTGGCAGCGCATTGGCACACAGGATCAGGGAATTCGCCCAGGAATCCACCGGCTCCTTCTGCTCCATCTACATAAGATGCACCTCGTTTTTTGCGAATCACATAGTCGTAAAAGGCGCTATGCCGCTCGACTGACGAGGCTCGGCTTGCGGTTATCATTACCACCCATGCATCGTCTGCGTAGGTCTGTAATGATTTTAGAAATTGACTAATGGCTGTCTTGGCGGTATGAATTTCTTGCTGTACCAAATTAATAAAAAAGGATAAAGCATTTGCCGTTGATCAATCCCTTTTTGGGATGCGGCACGCATTCTACTTCCATTTGTACATTCGTAGTGGCGTTTGAATGCGATGTGGCCTATACAATGACTTGCGGGGGCCAGCCGATGTTCAAGTCAGTGTTTTTATCCTCCCAGACAAGTCTGGTACCAATTAACCGACCCGGAGGGATGGAAGGCTTGGTTGGCCCGGGCGACTCACGACCCAGGATTTGATCCCCGGACCGCTCGCGTGGTAAGCGTGCCACTTGCCACTACACCACTTCCGCCTTGTACCACATTAGATTGAATAAGTTGGTGTGCCGTTGTGTTGCTTTTGTCGGGCCTTTTCGTGGCTTAAAGGCACGGGTTGCGATCAGATTGATGAGTTTTTTGTTCAAAAGCCAGGCAGTGAGTGCGAAGAAGAATGTTAGTGGGAAAACAAGCAAAAAGCACTATAGAAACACTGGAATTTTTTGTGACTTCGCTCGTGGTACGATGGGGAAACCCAGCTTTGCGAGGAGAGAAGCGTTCAAAAGCAAGAAAGTGTCGGTGGCGCCGTATTTTTAGGAATCGACGACTCACAAAATGACAGTAGTGGCCAGAATTTTATGAACAAACGGTTTTTTCATGATTTCTCTTTTGAAAGTCACTGGAACGTCTCCAAATTTGCAACAATTATTAACTACGTGTTTTATGATCCACACAGAAAATTTTCAACCTTCAGCTCAAATTTGGGTTTAGAAAATTTTAGATTTTTCGAAATTAATGAAGGCAGGTGAAAGATCACTTGATCCGTTTATTTGATTTAAATAATGTATAACCCAACAGAACAGTCAAGTAAACAGTCACTAACATTAAGCAAGTCTAGCACATTGCCCAGAACTCTCTAAAGTATTGGATACATAAACTGGATTTGAATGCGGGGTCAACTAATGAACTCACTCTCTAGTGGGGTCTCTCTCTGTAGTCCCGTCTTTTCGTGGCTCTTTCATTGACATACGAATTTGTAGGTCCTCCCTAGTGGTTCTGTAATGTTTGGCTCAAGAGTCTGGCCTGGCTGGTCTTTTAAAAGCACCCCATGCTGTCGAAACCACTCCTGCATGTGAGAGGCCCGATGCTTTGAGTCGCTGCTCTGCCGACAGGACAAAGTCAGGTCGGGTGGCAGCCAAGCCTACGGATACATGACACCTTCCAAAACATGACAGCAAACGTCTGCCTTCATCGCTACCTCAGTCGTGTAGCGTGGTCCCACTTTTTTCCAAGGCAACCTTATCAAGCCTCCCAAGTTTCACAATTGGCAGCTGATTCTTTGGATCAAAACGTTCCCTCTCGTGGTGCCGTACATTACTAGTATCCTTGCTGTCATGCATCAGTAATATGTTTTTGTCATTCCAGATGACCTTAGAAACCTGTATCAACCTTCGTTTCAGGCTTAGTCAATCACATTCTACTCCCACCCACTTCACAGCGAGCGCTCTTCTTAGACTTTGAGAACTAAGGAATACGTAGTATAGACTTAGATTCTAGAAGATGTTATGTATCCGTAGACATGGCTGCCACACGACCTGGCTTTGTCTGTCAGCAGAGCAGCGACTCAAAGCATCGGGCCTCTCACATGCAGGAGTGGTTTCGACAGCATGGGGTGCTTTTAAAAGACCAGCCAGGCCAGACTCTTGAGCCAAACATTACAGAACCACTAGGGGAGGACCTACAAATTCGTATGTCAATGAAAGAGCCACGAAAACGGGACTACAGAGAGAGACCCCACTAGAGAGTGAGTTCATTAGTTGACCCCGCATTCAAATCCAGTTTATGTATCCAATACTTTAGAGAGTTCTGGGCAATGTGCTAGACTTGCTTAATGTTAGTGACTGTTTACTTGACTGTTCTGTTGGGTTATACATTATTTAAATCAAATAAACGGATCAAGTGATCTTTCACCTGCCTTCATTAATTTCGAAAAATCTAAAATTTTCTAAACCCAAATTTGAGCTGAAGGTTGAAATTTTCTGTGTGGATCATAAAACACGTAGTTAATAATTGTTGCAAATTTGGAGACGTTCCAGTGACTTTCAAAAGAGAAATCATGAAAAAACCGTTTGTTCATAAATTTCTGGCCACTACTGTAATGTTTTCTGCCAATGAAATGATTAGCCTGTTGCAGTTGTATTCTATCGATTGTCACTAATTACAACTATCATTTACCAGAAATCAGCTATCACTATGAACAACTTCTAACCAGATTTACTTGGAGGCCGTCGTCAGTTGTGGTGTTTGGTCTGCACCCGACACTTTCTCGCTTTTTGAAGGGGAGGTTACATGTGGCGAATGACCACTGTGGCAGCGGTTGCAGCGGTGAAGCAAGAAGGAATTAGCTCCCTTGTCGCGCACATACAAGTCGCGACAGCATCACCTCCCTTAATTAAGGCTCAAGCTACCTCTACCTGGGGGAGAGAATTTCTCGAAGGTTCTAATCGCGAACCGTGCTCTCAAGCTTGGTTCATTGCAAAGATCAGAAGTCCATGCAATTCTCTCCCTTTAGTTACACAAATGTCCCCAGTATTTGGCGAAGTAAAGCTATGCCATACGATTCATTTCAAAGGGGATGTTCTTGAGATTCTTCCTTGAGGTCGCTGCGTCAAAAGTAGGTCACCATGCGCGGCGAAATCTATTGCAAGCTTGTGGTTGAATATGTTAGGAGGTAAAATGAACATGTCGAGTTGATCAATCCTTTTTTAGAACGCACCATGCATTCTACTTCCATTCATAATCGTGGTGACGCTTTGAATGCATTTTGGTATAAACAATGAATTACGGGGCTAGCCGATGTACAAATCAGTGTTTTGATACCACAAACAAGTCTGGTACCAATTGACGCAGGCTTCGTTGCCCTGGACGGCGTACAATCCAGGATTTGATCCCCGCACTGGGCGCGTGTCAAGCAACCTACATGCCATTACACCACTCGTTGAATATGAAAATAGACACATGAAAATAGTACATAATCAAAATTTATAGAATGCTGCTATCAGAAGGTTTCCATGTAAAAGTGTGCGGACCTATGCTGAAACTGTCGGTACCGGTACTTTTTATTGTGTTGTAGTTTTATTTTTATTTATTTTACGGTGTTATAATATAGTACAGGACGACCTCTCAGTAAGAGTACACTTTGTAGAGAACACCTAGAATAGACGGGGAAAGTCAATCTTTCGTTCTTAACCCAGAGAAGGAGAATGATCGTTACATAGATGTGAACCGCTCTTCCGGCGAATTTTCTGAAGGGACATCATCACGCTCGCTGGGGCTTCAATTCTTATTGAAGTCGCCACCCCTCTGATTCACTATTGTTTCGCCGCACCATCCGTTATCTGGTGTACAGCGTGAAAAGTTTGAAGAGGCTGTGATGAAAGGAATTCATGGTAATTGGGAATTTAAATCGACTCTCGTCCGAACTGGAAACTTTCGGCGATTCGGCACTGAATTGTTGCCAACATTTTTCACGGAACCAACCCGGTATTAATATTATAAATTAGGTTGTCGGAAAAGTTTTTGCGCATTTTCTTGTTCAACTTGCAAAATATTTTGGGATTCACTTTTGAACGCATGTAATTGGTTAAATGCTCTCTCCACAGCATTTCTGTCGTAGCATTTTGCAGCGTTTGAAGCTCAAAAATCGCCTTTCACTGAAAGGTATGCTCGACTGCTCCTGCCTTTATAAGCCCACAAAATGCGTCGATTGAAGCGAAGCAGGGACGGAGTTCTAGTAGGTGTTTCCACGTGTCTATGATGGACGCGATTATCTTTTCACAATATGGTGATTATTTGGTTGCCGATTTCGCCAGATACTTAGAAAAAACCACAAATCTGGTCAGCCTGCCATCCCTCATTGACGAGTGTATTCTGAATTCGATTGGAGAGAGTGCTTAGTGCAATGCACGGTAATTGGCGGAGCTCTTTCAGTGCTACCAGACCACAATGGCCGTTCCTCAATATCGCCTCTAAAAGAAGTGAAATTATGGCGAAAGGATATTTTGTGATCTGACTGACCACAGGCTATTGAGACCATTAAATTTTGCAAGGACATTTTGATTTGCCGCCCGTCTATCGCTTGATCCGCCAACTTTGTTGGTGGTGTCAAGAAGTGGGATCCTCAGGTGAACCGCACGCGAAAGCACGACTGGCTCGGATGCGTAGAACAAAGTGATTGCAACGCCGATTCGAGTACTGCAACTTGGGAGGCAACATTGAAAGCTCATGAGGCTGCAAATGTTTCGCTCACGGAGAGCTGCTGCCAACGAAGTCCACTAGCTATTGGTGAACAATAATGTTGACCAGCAGATTCGGTTTCCGCGGCATGGTGCCTCGGAAAACCTGAGAAACTTTACTCTATGTCGGCAACACTCGCTTCACGGAATTATAAGCAAGATCCCAGGAAAGGTCTCCAAGCTCGTTATAAAAGATGATCTGACCCACTTAATGTGTACTGCAAACCTGGTAGAGACAGGCTACCATACGCCTCTTTTGCCATCGAAGGTACTGAAATAGGGGCAGTTCGATGATCCGGACCTACTCGGAGTCAACCTCTTCGAGCTTTTCGCTCCAAAGACTCGGGATTTCTGAACGGCCGGCAATCTGAAGTTGCCTGCTGAAGAGCAATGTTTCGACGATTATGGTGGTGTATGTCTTCAACAGTTGTTGGCTGCACCAACGGAGAAAAACAGTTCTAAAAAAGTTGCCAAATGCGCAAAGACTTTTCTGACAAAATTAATAGAAACGGAGACACTACTTACCCTTCACTGTCCCCCACCACTCCTCGAAAACAGTCCGATTTTTATCGAAATTTGTCTATGACTGTGGTATTAGGAATTTTCACCCGGGGGTAGCTTTGACTCGTGCAAC